TAGTTTTAATGCCATTTGGGTAATAACTATAACCAATGGTGCTCTTCGAGAGAGATTGCGAATTTGCACTACATTTAACACGGTTTATAATATAGTTTCTTTTCAATATATTTGTAGTTACAGGGCCGTTATATAGCGCGATCCTTCCTCCTAATGATAAGGCATAAGGTAATTACTTTATCTAGTGTTAGCTCGGACATGTGCTTGTAAAACCAAACAAACTCTTCTATCTCTCTCCCTCCCTCCCCTCTATCCCGAGAAAACCCGCTTTTTATCAATTGGGATGTTCCAATTTCATACTTTGAGACAGAGTGCACATGTGAGTTAATCGAGCACTCATTTCAACTGAAGCAGCTTTAATAAAATCTGTTGGAAATCGGACTATTAAAAGCGTGGTCAATATATAAGCAGTTTGGAGTAATTATTATTGAATCATGACTTAACAAATAGCTTAGTTATGATCTGCTGTACACTATAGGTGACTGAAGCTCACTTTAGAATTTCCAAAGAAAATATTTGTTAATTACATGCACACATTCCGACAACACCCGATTAAAATAATCATCCTTAAAGAAACACACTTCTATCTCATTGAGCTAACACTCTTCCTGTCGTTTGAATTCTGCTTCGTTAGATAATTCATAGAGGATTCTCTCTGAATGCCTCCTTTGTGGCTATTTTCTTAGCAGTTACGTTAGAGACACTCCGGTGTTAGTGCAATTCGACGCAATATTAACACTCAAGGAGTGACTGTTCCTGACATTTGGTGGAAGATTACATACTGGAGAGATGAGATCGGTAGATGATAGGCAATTTTCATGTGAGTTTATGGAAAGCGCTTGAGATTTAAGTTTACGACATGACTTCTGAACTTGTTATGCTCATTAACAAGCCTGTTAACTTTGAAATAAGGTTACTTTCCAAGTGGGGCAGAAATATGAGTGGAATCGCAGCATAAAATGTAGATAAAAGTTCAAGAACGGAAATGAGGCATGTGAGTTGCCTTTTTTCAGAGAATCAAATCACCTAGTAGTTCCCAGTCGGTTAAAGATACTCACGTAATATTGAATAGTTTCTTCTTTTTAGGCATGTCTACGCTGAAACACTTATAGTGACCTCTGGGTAGAGACCTCTTTTCTCCAAAGGCATAACCAAACGTTCTAAACGTCCTAACACAAATAAAGTCAGGAGGATTCACAACCCAAAGAGAAACCGCATACAGTTTGTGGTCATTCCTGTTAAACTCATGAAGTAGCATGACAAATCTGCAAAGCTGATTCCGAAAATATCACCTTAGTGAGTTTGACATGTTGCACAATGTTCACATCTTGAACTTGCAAACGCTTCCGCACTGTTTTTAGATACCTTTGTCGACGTTGAAAGAAGATGTCTCCTACAATTGAGGAGACAGCCAAAATGCCTTTTTATTGATTCCCCCTGGTTTCTTGCGGTTGTAAGAGCTTCCAATCATTTGATGCCGACAACAACGACTTATTGTTACAATGTAGAGAGAATCAATGAGAATAGGGCTAAGCAACATTTAAACTTTACTTCCATTCCGCAATTAAAATTAAAAATGGCACCTTATGGCCAGACTCCACAGTTACCCTTCCATCCAACAATGATGGTATCCCACGGTTAAAACTTCCAACAGGATTCCTCGTGGCCATGAAGGCTAATTATAAGCTTCAGGGAGATAAAATAAGTCAATTGTCGTGTTTCATTCGAATGTAGGAAGAATTGTATCGTTTAACCTTGCATCACACCACCGAAAATAATTAACTTTTGAAGTTTAGGGGACCATGATTAAGTTACGCTATTAAGGCTGGCAATATATCTTTGTGTCGTTTTATGTGACAAAAAATGGAATACTTTTGGAACGTTAAAGTGCCCTTCAGAAGATGATTTAATTTTTAATAAATAAATATAGCACAATTTTAATTACCTTTGTTTATATATCAAAATAATTATACTTCCGTATTTCGATCCTTGACAATTCCATGGACTTGGTATGATCAGATTTGATTTATATCACTTGTAGCTATGAGAACGGGAAAGTTTTGCGACATATCATGGACCTTTGTGATGTGCGATATTAGCTCATATTTCTTATTCTTCTCATATCTGTTTCTGCTATCGTGAGTTAACTTTATTTTTACTACAGATAATGGAAATGAGGTGTCACTCATTCTTCTTGTGGTGAACTGTCCGAAAGTGCATCGCCCCCCCCCCCCCAACTTCTTTAATGCTTTGACAGTGCTTTGACTTCAAATGAATAAGCAATCCAATGAAATTTTTATCGGCGAAATTACATCTCATGGGCTAGAACCTGATTTCTTTCTTGATTACTTGATAACCATCCTCAATTCAATCGTGTTCCTTCCATCCTTTAATGTTGATAATCTGAAATGAGAGGACGTTGTGACTTATAATTGAAATGAGACTTTATCTTCATACATCAAAATTTATTTATTTATATCAAATGGCAGGCGTTTTGATGGTCATCATTAACTCTTTAGTTGACTTCAGGCTTCACAGAGGGGAGGGAACATTAAAGTGAAAGAAAGTCGAGAGGGGGTGGGGGGGGGGACAGAAGAGTGTTTCAAAGCTGAAGGTAGAGAAGGTAGAAAAAAGCTGAGGTGAGTGCTGCGAAGTAGTCGAATATGACATACAGTGAGGTGATGGTAGTTTAAAGTTGGAAATCAACTGCCGGTTTATAGACTTTGTTTGCCGTATGAGTATACATTGCTCAGGGTGCACCACGTGGAAGTAAGTTTATCGCACACCTTTCATACATCAACATTGATGAGCTGAGATCATGAGTATTTGGAGTTCAAGAGAAGTGATTAGGGTTACTTTGTCATGAACAACCAAATTACAGAAAAAAACATTGTGATCGATTAACATTTCAAACCTCTCTTATCCACTTATCTCATTGTCTTGTGTGATTTTATACCTCTACTTCGTGAGTAATGATGGTGTGAGCATTATCCTCACTTCTATATGCCTGTCGTTCTGCCATTCAAAATCACTTCAACGAATAGGTCTATTTGCGGTTATGGATTCTATTCCATTCAGTTTTCTAGTGTTTCTGCAATAAATATAGTTTCTGTATTAATCATAACGAAATTCGCGTGTTCACACAAAGCTTACACTTCCTCGAGGACTTTTGTAATATTTGAATTTATTTACCTAACTCTCAGGTTGATTGGTAATATAATCCAAAGCTTATTGGTTGAACAATTTAATTTAGTGATTTGTCTAGTCGCATCTATTCATTTAAAACAAAGAGAAGGCGAACAAGGCACAAGAGAACAGTAGGATTTATCAGAGCTCACAAAAGGCGAACTCTGGGTAATGCAATAAAATTGATGGAGCCCCAAAAATTCAAATTGTGCTTGAATATCTTATTTTTTTGAAGAAATTGCTTATTTACTTTGCTACCTTTATTCCTTCAACATTGACTATTTGAGAACCAACTTGTCCAAAGTAATAAACAAACACAACCATTTGCTTCAAATACCACGAATTTTGACATTTTAGTCACAGGGCAGAGATAACCATTGGCATTCAAGTTTCATTTGTGTTCTGCTTTATTTGGGCCACGGACGAATAAAGCGTTTCCATGGTATGACAATAATCTTGAAAGGCTGTTGTCAGTTAGTCTTCGATACACTAACAATGTTGTAATTATCCCAATGTACCATGAAAAAACAGCGAATAAAAGTGAATCCCCTGTGAAGGTCTCCAGGCGTTTAGATTTGCAAGAATTTACAGTAATATTGAAGCGTTGTGAACCTTTAAAAGTGTAAAGTTGGGAAAAACGGAGTACATTTGGCTTCAATTTCATGTACCAATATGAAAAATATACATGACTTGTGTCTTTGGGTTAAATATAAAGGTTTTGTTGGTTTTACGTTGCCAAGAGCATCTGTCTCTGTAATAATTAACTGCCACGTTTGATCTCAAGATAATTGGTCAGGAAATTTATTTTGAACAACCAACCTTCTCAGAGGAAAGCGAAATTATAAAATTAATGCTTACTAAAAATAAAAAAATAGATCTCGTAACGGATTCCAATGCCAAATTTTCACTTGTCACAGCCTGGAAGAGCACTTTAAACGAGCTTCAATATTATGTTATCCCAGCAAGCTTTTGATCTGAGAGTTTCGAATTTCCCATTTTTTTGCATGGGGAAGGACAGACCAAGAACATTCAAAAACCCGATATTTAATGATTTTTTATTATTCGGTTTCTACACTGGCTCATATCCACTGTTTTAGTAGCCTGCAAATTGGTTAATTGAATCAAATGGTCAGCCAGGCTGGTTTTATTTGTGCTTGTGAAATGCACAACGCTGTCATGGCCGAACAAAAAATCTCACATGCACTCAGACAGACTCGAAGGTGTGGTCGTGAGTGCAAAGACCTCTCAGTAATCACCCAATAAATAGTTCTAGCATTGTTTTGCAAATCCTTCATTGTATTATAATGACTAAGCTCGTGCGAGTGTAACAGTAGCTTAGCCAATTCGGGGATTCATCCCAAACGATGAGATCTTGCCACAGACGTTACTGGGTATAAGTCAAGGTTTTTCAGTGAAGCAATCTTTTACATATTACAGCCATACGCAGAAATTATAACCCTGAAAAGACTGTTGAGATCACAAAAAACCGTTGTTTTATTGAAATCGGACACTTCCAAGAGTAAAACTTTAGGAATTTATCTATAATTTAATTACCTTTCATACACAATGCATTTTCGCGTTGTGATAAGTAAATTGTTAATTTTAAAATACTAAATACGAAAGTAAAATCTACTATATACTTTTATAACGCCTCTAAAGTAAGACAATATGTTCGAATCATGTGCGCAGTGATAATTCTAGTTAGTTCCCAAAACTCTGATTGGTTAAGACTTAGCAGCCAATCCGAATTTAATAAAGGTCATTCATAGTCAGTTCGAAAATTGAGTTTATTTTACCTAGAATATCCCATGACGATGTTATTCTACACAGTCCTTAAACACTACCTTCCAACCGCCCTTTGGATTTCTAGTTGCTTCTGCATAATCCCCTCGGTATACATTTCTTGGAAATGCGGTCTTTGTCGTGCCATAGCTGCCTATCTCATCGTATTGTCAGTAGTGGATATAATAACAGGATTTTTGCTTGCCTTTCTTTCTCTGGATCACTTTATTCTCCGATTCATTCCAGGTGAAGATGCCCATTATGTTTACAGCCTAATTGAAGATATATTTTGTGAAATTATTGATATTCTTCTACTCATCTCCAATTGGCTCACAGTTGCAGTAGCTGTGGAACGATACTTGGCAGTTTGTTTTCCATTAAGTGTAAGATTCGTGACTCATCGATTCAGAAAGCGTATTGTTCATTCAATCATCTTATTATCGATCTTTCTGCAATTTCCATCACTAGCCAAATACTTTACACTCTTTCACTCACTTTATAAATTTCTCGCATTTTTCAATCTCTGGTTCACTCGAGTATTTGCTCTCCTTGTTATCCCCTGTTCCATTTTGATTTTCGTCACAACAAGGCTAATTCAAGCTATTCGGTCGTCATTCATCCTAAAGCATGGGGGTGTGTCCTTAGATTGCTCCAGTAGTGATGACTGCATCTCGGTTTGCAAATGGAATATCTCAAATTCAACCCGTCTAACAGTAGCTTTTACCCTGAATGGACCTTTAGCTAGAGAACGAAGCAGACATGCAACCAAGGAGGAGAGAGCGATCACCCTCAACTTGATCAGTTTGATCATTGTCTTCTTCATTTGCCAAGTACCGTTCATCTTACTCTCTGTAGCCTTTAGACTCTTTGATCCTGAGACTGCTTCGTTCCGGGGTTTCGATTTAGCCCTTTACTATGAACCCAATCAATGGAACGAGGAGGTTGTTAATCAAACGGCCATTTCATTGCCACTGTTTACGGTGAATACTTCTGCAAATGCCGTGACACCGGTCTTTGACACTACCCTAACGTACATTCGAGCCTTCTCGGTCCTCTTTCTAATGCTAAAAGGTGACCTTTACTTCCTCTTTTACTGCTGGTTATGTAATAACTTCTTTAAAGCTGTCAAAACATTCCTACGTATTTGAATTTTGATCTTATTTTTTTCTTTCATTGTAGCAATGTTCCTGTGTGTTTATTGTTTCGGGAAAAAATTGTTTATTGTTCCTGTGTGTGCGGATAAGAGGAAGAGATTTAAAAGTCGGTATTAGCATTTTTAATGCTCTCGGAAATTATTTTTAATAGAGGTCATTTTAAACTTTATTTTTTCGGAAAAAAAATTGTTTATTGATATTTGGAGGAAGTATAATAATTTCTCCAGATTCAAAAGATTTAACCAACATTACGCTTTTAGGTGTAACCAACAATCTCGTTTACTTTTACGAGTTAGCACCGATCATCTGCAACAAAATTTGTTTTTTTCAGTGATAAGAGTTCAAGTAAAATAATATTTAATTAAAGATAAGGCTCCAACCTATAAATACCTACCAGAGTTACATTTTGACATTTAAAAATTAGATCCCCTTTGAGTACATTTGATACTAATATTTATTAATAGATTCATTGAAATTAAGAAATTAAATATTTAAATCTGTTTTTAATTTTTCTTGTTTATTTTACCAAAATTATTATTATCATAAGTTAAGTTGTAATGAATTCTTGCTTGGAGTAAAATTTCAGTGGCTTCGTATCATTCTGTTTAAATTTTACATCTTAACAAGATCAATTCGAGAATTAACAAAATTTTCTACTTGTTAATATCAATTCATAAATAAGCAAAACCTTTGTGTCATTACGTTAACCGCAAGATTTATTTTAATTTATCTTAAAAAATATTTTTTCGTATTAAATGGAAGATGAAATTCACCAAAGTACAATATTCTGAAAGACTGCAAAATGATGGACAATATTTAATCGATTTAATTATTACCTACATTGAGATAATTATATTCTATTCTCGATCGAGAAATTATTTCTATGAGTTGAAGACTAACAGATTTTATTCAAATTCTTTTTGCTTCGATACCACCATTTTCCAAGTCTGAAGGCCATATATATTAATTTTCTCAGTAATTATTTTTCTTCATGACACGCCGCAACTCGGCATACTAAAAATTGACTTTTGTTGGCATATAAATTTATTTTAATCCCAACAACCGATTTAATATACCAAAAGGATTTCTGAATTTTAGAAAAAAGTCAAGTGTACTTTATTGGAAGTCATTGCCTTGTTTCATAGAAATACATCGTGACAATTATTTAAAATATTCTTATCAATAGGCAACATTTTAGTCAATTAATTAGTAATTATATCCACTCGATTGGGGAATTTTTATTTGAATACTTAAGTTTACACTCAATCTGGTAATATAATTTTCTTATAAAAAAGGCTTATTGTCTTCAAAGAAAAATACTGGGCAAAATTGTTTCTAGAACGATTATTTCCATCTTTAAAAGCAACATACTGAACTCCCAAAATATTTTCCTATATTGTCACAAAGTATCAAAATCTATCCAATGGGTAATCATTAAAATCACAGAAGGGCTGGAAGAGACACACCATAAATTCACTACTGAGGAAAATCTGTCATCTTCAAAAGTGATATTTTTCAAAACCCGCTTAAAAAACATGGAAATTGGCGTAAGATGATAGAGTGACATCCACTTTTTCAGGCTTACACAACAATCTCAACATCACTGAATGAGTATAAAAGTCACTGTGAGCCGACCTCGAGAGAGTAACAAAGTGCATGGGGGTTTATACAATGGGTTCACTTTTAAGAATTATGGACAAGAGAAAAATTATTTTTTTGGAGTTTTGTCTCGTTGTCAGTGTATAGACGCTTTCAAAGAGAGGCAAAGCAAAACCAAATGTACCTACTTTCAATATTGAATCACTAAGCTCTATTTCGTTATTACCCATGGAGCTGAGAGGAGTTTTTAAAAGTTTTGTCCTAAATTAGGAGAAACTACAAATCAGCATCGTGAAGTATCTGACGTGGAGGAAGGTCATAAAAAAGAACCGAATTGTGCAGTCTGAACATTAAGGGTCTTTATTCAATTTCAACAGTACCGCATTGTCCATTTCCTTCTGAGTTAGGGAAATCGCTTTGAAAGAGTCTAATTTTTAATTATCAGCACCTGAAACTATGGTTTTCATTCATTATATGCAGTGCTAGGAGCTCGGCTAAGTTACTGTTACCTAGGTGCATCAATTTATTAATAAAGCAAGATATCTCTAGCTCTTGGTTAAAAGTCTACAGTGTTGCAACACAGCAGAAAAATGACTTCTATTATACAAATTTGGCCCTAATTTTGAAAAAAATGGTTTACACCTTTTTGAAGAGAACAAAATGTTTTAAACTAATGGAAAACTTGACATAACAACCATGAATTTAATTTTAATTAAAATATTAAATTGGCTGCTCATCTTCTCTGCACCAAGTTTTTTCCACAAAATAAATGATCCAAGACCTTTTCTCAACCACCTGACTAATTTTAAGCTACTTCCATATTTTATTTATTTATTTATATTAAATGGCAGGCGATTTGATAATTATCATCAGCCCTTTAGGTGACTTCGGGCTTCACAGAGGGGAGAAACATCAAAGTGAGAAAATTCGAGAAGGGGAAAAGAAGAGTGATACACAGGTGTAAAATAGACAAACAGACAGGCACAAAGGCTGAGAAAAGGTAGGACAAGTACGGTGGAAGTGATCGAATGAAACATACAGCGAGGTCATGGTAGTTTGAAGTCAGAAGTCGACTGCCTGTTTATAGACTTTTTTGCCGTATGAGAATACGTTGTCCTAGGTGTAACGCATGGAGGTAAGTCTATCGCACACCCCTAGTATTAAATATTATATTATTATAATTAATAGAATTGCTACAAAAATTTTTTTGCAATAAGAGTCAGAGCGTAAGGGTAAACTGCAGAGTTACCACTTTTTTGAAGTTGTTCTACCTATTAATACTTTGTTTTCAAGTGAAGAGGTTTAGAAGTATTTACCAATTTTGAATTTTGTGTTTCTTCTTTTTTCTTCTTCCTCGTAATGTGCGAAGCATTTTCAGAGGGTCATTGTGGAGAGGTCAGGCAAATCGCACTTTCTAACTGGTTATTTTGTGAACACGAAACAGCGCCTCAATCATAGCGAAACTCTCTCAAATATGATATTAAGTTAAGGGGTGCGCGATAGACTTACCTCCACGTGGTGCACCCTGGGCAA